GGGGGTAGTAGAGGGGAGGTCCCCAAAGTCGATGGGGACTTTGCAGCATACCTCCTTGTCCCAGAGGCTGTTCTGTATGTAATTTAAGGGCTTCAAGCTTATCATTGAAGAAATATTAACTGCTGCTTTTATAAATCTCATGTTTGACTTCACTTTTGGTTGTGGCAGGGGTTGTGAAAATAAGAAATAAATGTTATCCTTTTCTTTGGATGAGATGAATAATTTACTTCTGTTGTCTTTCAATGTCTGAATTAAGAAGCCAACACACAATGAGATGAGAGACTGACGAGCCGCTGGTTTTCTTCTCCCTCAGTATCACAGACTGTGCCGTGGAGCCCTTAAAGGCTGAGCTCGCGGAGCTGGAGCAGCTGATCAAAGACCAGCAAGACAAGATCTGCGCTGTGAAGGCCAACATCCTCAAGAATGAAGAAAAAATCCAGAAAATGGTGTATAGTATCAATTTGACTTCGAGAAGGTGAACACTCAAAAGTTTCAGAGATGAAAAGTCACCTCAGTTTAAAAGCAAAAAGGAAGATAGAAAATCGTTACTCTTTTAAGTTCCAGTTTGCTAAGAAAATGAACAGTTTACCATGTTATTATCCAGCTAATTTTCAGAGCTTTAAAACTGTAAGCATGTTAAGTGTATTAAAAAAACCATGTTTTCTTACCTCCTTCCAGATGGAATACTGGCTAGTTATAAATAGCGCTTCCAAACACCTCTGTGAAAGGTTTTTTGAAAGCCTGTTCTTTGTGTTTCTGCTGTAGCCTGTTTAGTTCTGTACCAGAACTCTCCAGCAGGTAAGTGGTGTGGCCGTACCGAGGGAACAGTAGTCCTTTATTTTGGTTTAGTGGAAAGACTCTCAGAGGTCCATGCAGAATGAAGGATGACTGTTTACTTTCTGATAGGCACTTGATAAGTGGAATGAGGCCTGAAAATGAATAAATTATACTTTTAGTTAATTTCCATTTGAAAGGGCTAGTCTCAGCCTGTCTCCATATAAGGCACCTGTCTACTGGATTGTTTTCGTTTTTGTTTTTTGACCTCTTTGTAATTGCATGTACTTCTCTATGTAATTTTCTTCTTGATCTCTACTATCTTTTGCTTGTGTTTCCAGTCCTTGAAGTTCATAAATTTAAAAAGGAGATTTCAGGATGGCCTTTACGGACATTGTCTGGATATGAAATTGTCTTGGGCTACATCCTCACTTTCTTCAGCATTTTACCCTGGTTTTCCTCAGGCAGAGGCTAGCACAGCTACCCTTGAGTCCTTGTTCTCCTTAAGAGGGTCTTGCTCTGCGAGGCACTGGCATCATGCCTTTTCCTTTGCATGGGTGTGTACACCTGAGAGACAGGTAGCTTAGGAAAAATGACATAAGGAAGACTTACAAGGCTGCACTGATTTATGATGTTTTTTGATGTTAGCCATTTTTTTGGAAATTGTTTTTTAATGCAAAAGTTTTTTAAAAAACATGGTTTATAGTTTTTCACTTACGTATACTATTGTAAATACGTAGCAGAGTCTTAAGTTATTGTATAAAACATTTCTTTGTGTTTGAAGACATACTTATGGGTCTTAAGGTCTGGGTCCTAATACTTTTATTTTTAAATAGTGTGTTTATTTTATTTTATTTTTTTATTTTGGAGACGGAGTCTGGCTCTGTCGCCCAGGCTGGAGTGCAGTGGCCGGATCTCAGCTCACTGCAAGCTCCGCCTCCCGGGTTCACGCCATTCTCCTGCCTCAGCCTCCCGAGTAGCTGGGACTACAGGCGCCCGCCACCTCGCCCGGCTAGTTTTTTTGCATTTTCTAGTAGAGACGGGGTTTCACTGTGTTAGTCAGGATGGTCTCGATCTCCTGACCTCGTGATCCGCCTGTCTCGGCCTCCCAAAGTGCTGGGGTTACAGGCTTGAGCCACCGCGCCCGGCCAATAGTGTGTTTATTATGTAAACTAAGGAGTGCCATTTAAAATGTGAGGATTGCCTGAAAAGGTTTTGTTTCTTTTTTTTTTTTTGAGACGGAGTCTTACTCTGTCACCCAGGCTGGGGTGCAGTGGCGTGATCTCGGCTCACTGCAATCTCAGCCTCCCAAGTTGAAGTGATTCTCTTGCCTCAACCTCCTGAGTAACCAGGACTACAGGCGCACGCCACCACGCCCGGCTAATTGTTGTATTTTAGTAGAGATGGGGTTTCACCATGTTGGCCAGGATGGTCTTGATCTCCTGACCTCGTGATCCGCCCGCCTTAGCCTCCCAAAGTGCTGGGATTACAGGCGTGAGCCACAGTGCCCTGCCAGGTTTTGTTTCTTTAAGGATTAGCACAAATAGCACCGTTGGGTTTTTCTTCATACAATTTCCAAAATAAATTCTGTACTAAGGTTGTTATATGACTTTCTGAGCTGAGTAAGTTCAGGAGCAGATTATTAAGATCTGCCATTCTGAAACGTTGGTCTTTTTCTCCTTCCTATAGTGCACCATAAAATTCTGTTTGATCAGATTATACTGAATACATTTTGGGGGAGTGGAGGGACATTAGTTAAGTAGTCCTTCGTGTATTTATAATCTCTTTTCTACTGAATCAAATGACTTAGCCATGACCCTGAATGGACCTTGTTTCACTTCAAGTTAAGATGTCTGCCTTTTATGAATTTGTATATATGAATAGAATTTGGGGATTGCAAAAAATTGCATACATTGTATGTAAGTAAAATTTTTTATGAAGTAGTCTGTCAAATTGTATCATAAAGTTTATTTTTCTTTTATACATAAATCATTAAAAATAATCACATATTTTTTTCCATAAGTGTATGGATTGTGCAGTTCAATTCACACATGGAAAAATCATAAGCATTTAGATTTTTTATTTTCAAATGTGTGCATTTTGTTTTTCTCATGAGGAAAGTTCAGGGAAATATATCTTTTCATTCATATTATGACACATACCTCTTTTCAGTATAAAATGAAGTTTTATAAAATAGGTAAGCATTTACTGGAAATCGTAAGATCATTTGTGAAGTTTTAGAAGGTCTCTACACGTGATTGTTACTGTATCTTATCCTAGACACCAGATCCTGATCTTATTTGAGAAATTTAAGTTTTCTCTTAATTTGAGAAAATACACAAATGGGATTATTAAGTATTTTTCTATACTTTGGTGTATAAGTTTTCAGGGAGTACTGGAGTCATACTTCCAGAATTTGAATTTAAAAGTTGAGCTGATGATAATTTATATTCAAAGGAAATGCATAATAAACCTTTGGGAGAAATAGTTCAAGACTAAAATGCAGCTTTCTACTTTGATATTCATCCTTATCTTTTTAATAATCAACTTTTAAAAACTGAAATCAATCGAGAAAAATGATGTCATTTGGTGATATGAAGTGCTGCTTAGGATTTGGGTGATACGGAATTCTAGTCAGTGTATTGGCGAGTGCGCCTCAACTATTCCGGTGCTGCTCTTCCGAGCTGCCCTGGACTCGGGGTTTATCTTCTATTGGTCGATGTGTACAGTGTCATGGCACACGAATAAGAGAAAAGATGGCCAGGGCCTTTGAGCAGCTTTTGGATCAGTAGCCAGTGTGAGGCAGCAGCAAGCAGGATGAGCAGCCTGTTTGAGCTTCTGCAGGAACCTGCTTCCGAAGGAGGCCACGCCCAAGCAGGATCAAGGCTCAGCATGTCACCATCAGGGAAGACACTAAACACCCAGACCTGGACTTGGCTCCCCCTTCTGGACTCTTCTTTCCACACCCAAAACGCAGAGAGTAAATAACCTTGTTCATGGCACCTCTACCACTGTGGGCTCCTCTGAGGGGCTCCCCAGCAAAGACTAACGTAGCAAAGTAGAAGTAAGAAAAATTCTAACTCAAGCATGAGCCAGCCTAAGTCGGAGGGGAAGGAATAGCTGTTCTCAGCCATTCTCAAATGTAACTACTTGCTGCATTTGGGCTCTGAGTTTAACTCTATCCTAGGATACACTTTATTAATAAAAACATTTTATATTTTTCTAAAAAGTGTTTCAATAAGTATGGTTTATGCAAGCTTTACATTGGGGCATTAGTAAAGCCCCCTAGTCAGAACCCCTTTTTGATTATTACGTATATTTTCGTAAAGGGAGATTGGGAGGGACTTTGGTTTCTTTTAAATTCAGCAAGAGAAATTTAAATGACTTTTAAAGCTATAGAACTTGGCCAGGCATGGTGGCTCACACCTGTAATCCCAGCACTTTGGGAGGCCAAGGCAGGCAGATCACCTGAGGTCAGGAGTTCGAGATCAGCCTGGCCAACATGGTGAAACCCTGTCTCTACTAAAAATTAAAAAAAAAAAAATTAGCCAGGCATGGTGGTGGGCGCCTGTAATCCCAGCTACTTGGGAGGCTGAGGCAGAAGAATTGCTTGAACCAGAGAGGCGGAGGTTGCAGTGAGCCGAGATTGTGCCACTGTACTCCAGCCTGTGTGAAAGAGTGAGACCATGTCTAAAAAAAAAAACACACAAAACTTCTCTTGGCCAGCCGTGGTGGCTCATGCGTGCAATCCCAGTATTTTCAGAGGCCGAGACGTGAGACTCACTTGAGCCCAGGAGTTCGTGACCAGCCCTGGCAACATAGTGAGTGAGGCCCCATCAAAACAAAAAAGCTGGGTGTGGTGATCCACGCCTGTAGTCCTGGTTACTCAGGAGGCTGAGGTGGGAGGATCACTTGAACCCAGCAGGTTGAGGCTGCGGTGAGTCACAGTCATGCCACTGCATGCCAGGCTGGGTGACAGAGCAAAATCCACTCTAAAATATTAATAATAATACATATAACTTGTTTTTAAATCCATACATAGAGCTGAGTTCCAAATTGGTTATCAGTTTCTTAAACCAAGCAAATTGATCTTTCTGGTAAGAAAATGGAGTTCAAAAGAAAGTTAAAGTACACATATTACAAGAAGGTTGTGTTCTGGTCAGCCAGGGCAGGATCACATCCATGTCAATGACTGCAGTCAAATGTGTGTGTCCAGATTGGTGGGCATGTGGTGTTGGCCAAAGCACCGTGGAAACCTCTGGGTGTCTTCTGATGAAGCCGGGCACCCAGAGCCATGTGATTCTAGGAGATGCCTGTGACACGAGGGTGGGCTGGCCCTGCCCCACTGTGCACACAGATGGTAGGGTCTGATTTGTGTTCTCCAGCAGCCAGGCATGACACCCTGTGGATAGTGCTATGCGTAAGTTTTTAAAGAAAATTATCCTTACTGTCAATCATGTATCAATATCACCCTTAGTTGTGCCTGGTGTTCATGTTGGCATAACTAATTCATATTCCTAAAGTATTCATTTCTTCTTATTTAAAGGGGTTTTAATGGAAAAGGTAATATATTAGCATGGATCCACAATCACGGTTAGCTGAAAGGGTCCTCACTTAGAAGTCCCCTCCTGCGGTCCCTGTCTGCCTTGCTTCTCCTTGACCCTGTAGGCAGCCATTTGCATTAGACTCTTGTACAAGCAGATATGAATATTTACTTTTATAACCCCCCAACATACAGTTTCACAAAAGGTCATAGTCTATACCCTGTTCTGAACCTTGGCTTTTCGGGTTTATGCAGAGTCTGTGGGGACCTCAGAGTGTCCACCCTAGACACCGTCCTCACTTCTCTCCAGGCTGCGTGGATCTCCCCCTGCAACTGCCTGGCTTCTCCTGCTGGCTCCCTGGTGCTCAGTTGCATGGTTTCTAATCTTCCACCATTAAAAGCAATGCCGCCGTGAATGGCTTTGTCCTCCCATCATTTCTTATGTGTGGAGAGACCCAGAAGTGAGACTGCAGGGTGAAAGCACAGTGTGTCACCATACTGGTGGGTGTTGCCAGATGCTGTTTGTGGGATGGTTCCATGTTCCTGCACCAGAGAATATGTGGAAGTGCCTTTTCCCTGCAGCCTTCCAGCAGCAGACGGCCACACGTAGAGACTTCCGCTACTCAGGCGAGAAAGGATCTCAGCGTGGTTTTCATTTGCGCTTTCGCATTTTGACTGAGCTGTAGCCTCTCTTGATGTGTTTAAGGACCATTTGCTTGTTTGCTTTTCTGTTCTGTGAGCTGACTGTGCAGCAGCTCATTTGCCCTTTATTCTGTTGGACTCCTGGTTTTCCCTCCTGGATTTCTAGAAGCACTTCGTGTTTTGAGTTCATATTATTCCCAGTTTGCCTTTTGACTGTGCTATAGCTTCCTTCCCCCAGTGCGATGCTGGACAAATACGGACAGTCCTTGTGATTTTACAGTTGGCCCGATGCTGCCAGGAATGATGGCGACGGCTCTTTTCTGATGTTGAAAACAGACTCTTCTGATCCTGGTTACAGGGAACCTCTAGCAGGAATAGATGTTGAATTGTTCTTGTCTGTTAAGGTGATGGCATTTTCTCTCCTGTGGCTTAGTAATGTGCTATCCTTGATTACCCAACATGAAAATATCCTGTGTTCATAGATGAAGTCCTGTGTGCTCCGGCAAAGCTGTTCCTCCGTCGTGCTGAGTGGTTCTGCCGCACATGCATGAGTCCAGTGTTTCTTGCTGCCCAGTGCTTGTCAGCCGGCAGGGGGGTTGGGGGCATACTCTGTTGCTTGATTAACCCCAGTCTTAGGTGGACACCATGTCCCTGGGTCTTCACTGTAGCTCTGGAACCAGCTTGCATTCCTGCTCCTCCCCCAGGAGTCAGGGTCTCCTATTCCTTCCCAGCTACAGGGATTCCCCCAGTGCCCTAAGGCTGACAGGCTTCTCACCTGCCCCTGCACTGTCCCATAGGGGAGAAGATTCCAGCAGGAGTTCTGTGCCCTCCAGCAATGACTACTGTTGGAACCTTCTCCCCTATGGGACAAAAGATACCATTCAGGAGCAAGTGAGAAGCCTGTCAGCCTTAGGGCATGGGGAAATCCGCTGGAGCTGGGAAGGGAGTAGGAGACAGGGCCCATAGGGAAGAAGGGTCTTTCTCAGGTGCGCACGCATGGCAAGGGACACTTCAGACTTTCTCCAGTCTTTCCTGAGAGATTTTGTGGAAACAGCCTTGGGGAGGCAGCTGACCCCTGTTGAGGCGCCGGGGGCTTTGCGTTCTCTCTCCTGGAGCATACTTGTCCTGCCGCCACCCCACTGAGCTCTGCTCCCCAGGCTGGCCTGCACTCCCCACCCTCCTCTGGCCCCTGGCTATCTGTCCTTAGGTTTGTCCAGCTGTTTTTCATCTGAAGAAATTATAGCCAGGCACGGTGGCTCACGCCTGTAATCCCAGCACTTTGGGAGGCTGAGGTGGGCGGATCACCTGCGATCAGGAGTTTAAGACCAGCCCGACCAACATGGTGTAACCCAGTCTCTACTAAAAATATAAAAATTAGCCAGGTATGTTGGCACATGCCTGTAATCCCAGCTACTTGGGAGGCTGAGGAAGGAGAATCGCTTGAACCCAGGAGGCAGAGGTTGCAGTGAGCCGAGATCATGACACTACACTCCAGCCTGTGTGACAGAGTGAGACTCTGTCTCAAAAAAAAAAAAAAAAAAAAAGATAAAAGAAAATCCAGAGTGGAAATTCTGAAGCCTCTGCTTACTACTTCTGAAGGTGTTTCCTAGGTCTTAACCCAAACTGGGTTGAGAGGCTCTTCACACAGATTGACTTGGAAAGCCTGGCCCAAAGCGGCGTCTCACTCTTCACCCCGGCCTCTGTGTCTCGTTCATGGGTCATGTGCATTGTTTCTGAAGCACAAAGGAGGTTTATTATCAACGGTAAGTGGCAGATCTGCGTGGGGTTCAAGCTTGAACAGGAAGTAGCTGAGGCAAGAACCACAGTGAGTGCCCTGCAGAGCCCACAGCACAGGCCCTGACCGCCAGGCCTCCTGTCCCACCACTGGTTATGGTTAGACTCCTCCTCCCCTGCCCAGTTTTGTGGGTGGTGGGCGTAGCTTCAGGCCTTCTTTCACCTTTTGGACTTCATTCCTCTCCCCTGCCAAACCGCACCCCTGCAGGGTAAATTTTGCCCCTTCTTGAGGTGGTGTGGAAGAACACGGAGTGTGGGCTGAGGACCCCCTTCCTGTCAGGTGTGGATGTGTGATTTGGGGTGCTCCTTTTTATGTCTCCTTTGAGCCTCGGTCGTCCACTGATGGGTCATCTTAGCCACGGGGAGCACATGTGGCTCATGGGTGCCTGGTGAGTGTTGGTGTGTGGTGCGCTGGCGGCGTGTACTGTCCCTCGTCTCAGTGGTTGGCTGGCAGGGCCTGGGGTCTCCTGCTCGGCTCCGACCCTTCAGGACCAGTTGCCCGTGGCCCCGTCTTGGTGGATGGTCTCACATCTCATCTCCTTGGCAGAGAAGCCAATGGCTGAAATGGGCCATAAAGACACAGTGATGTTCAGAAACGCCTCTGCCACGTTTGGGTAGCTTGCTATTAGCATGTTCCTGTGAGGGACGGAAACAGCAGTCTAAGCTGAGGTCACATGAGGAAAGCAGAGCCCAGGCCCCACCCCTGAGGACTGACGAACCTCAGGGATGGGCAAGTTTGTCTCGGCCTCAGCCTCTGGTGGGGTGGGGGGCTCAGGCCTGTGGGTCGGGGGCTT